TACTTCTGGCCCTTGCCTTTGTTCCTAGTTTTCTTATTTTATAGTTAGACTAGTTAGATTTCCAGGCCATTCTCTAGGCAAAATCGGTTGGCTGTTTCTTTTGACCACTTGAGAAGAAGGCCATGTGCTTTTCATTGTCATCCAGTTGTTCAAGTCATAGGATTTGTAGGTACTTGTTTTGGATTATCGGAGAAGGCAATGGCACCCCACTCCAGTACTCTTGCCTGGAAAATCCCATGGATGGAGGAGCCTGGTAGGCTGCAGTCCATGGGGTCGCGAAGAGTTGGACACGGCTGAGCGACTTCACTTTCACTTTTCACTTTTATGCATTGGAGAAGGAAATGGCAACCCACTCCAGTGTTCTTGCCTGGAGAATCCCAGGGATGTGGTCGCATAGAGTCAGACATGACTGAAGTGACTTAGCAGCAGCAGCAGCAGCAGTTTTGGATTATCAAGAATCTGAGGAACTTCCCTGGTGGTCCAATGGTTAAGTCTCTACTCTTACAGTGCAGGAGACACAGGTTCAATCCCTGGCCGGGGAAGTAAGATCCCCCATGTTACACAACCAAAAAACAAAAGAAAAAAAAAAATCTGGAAGGAGCACAAACTTTCACTTCCAGTCTGGACCTTGCTAATTTTTGGACACAAGTGGAGATGATTCTCAAAGCAGCACAGCCTCGTGTACCTGCATTCCAGTCCTTTGGTTTTACAGTTTGCCTCTTCCTCCAAAGAGAGAGTGAGTGTTGAGTGGAGGGACGGTAGATGCAGGAAGGGGTTGCCTTGCCTTATGTGGCAGACAGGATTGGAGGATGTAGGGACTGTTTGGGAAAGAGTCATTCTGATTTTGTGGGTTCTACCCCTCCCTTTGCTGAAATCTATGCTTGAAAGTACGAAATATGTGAGTGTGTATTTGCTGATAGTCAGATCAAAGGTCCCAGGGGGGCTGGACTACCTGAAAAGGGAAAGGAGGAGGGTGGCTCTCTGCAGCCTGACTGCCACCTGCTCTCGTTGTAACCAGGCTCGCGATGGGCAGCTAGAGAGAAAGCTGCTGGTATGACCTTCCCAGGTGCTGCTGAGAGGGAAAGTGTGGCCCTGTGTATGGATATGGTAAATTTGAGCCATTGGAGGTAGAAAAAAAGACAGTAACATACATGCTAACATCAATATTAAAACAGCTTGCTCACCTTTCATCAGAGCCCCTTGGTTTAGTATCCTTTTGTTCAGCAATAATGAGTGTAACTATTGACTATACTGTTTCAAAGACTGATATTTGTGGCACCAAAGGTAAGCATAACCTGAGTAACTTCTTGACCCTTTGCAAATATTTACAGGTTGAAAGAATATAGTTTGACCAAAGAGCCAAGTGATTTTGTAGTGGTTTACTTTCTGGTTTTCCTACAGTTCAGTAGATAACTTACCTGGAAAAAAAGAAAAGAAAAGTCTCTATTTATTTTTTCTTTGGTGGTGGTGTGGTAGATTATTCTAAACCACTTTGTTGTTTCTAAGTTTTTGGAAACACAGAATCTAGATGAATTTTGTTTTCAATTGAAGGAAACTGCTGACAGTAGTAATAGCATGACACATTATGCTGTTATAAATGTATTAAAGCAATTTAAAATCTTTTATACATTTTGGCGTGGTGATTAAAAATATATAGGGTCAACATACCTTTTTTTTTTTAATAGATGTTGAGTTTAAACGTGTATCTTGATGAACTTCTCAAAACAACTGTCAGGGATGATATATTTGTGAAAAGGAGAGCAACCTCCCTCAAATAAATGTTTTCATGGAAACAACAAACTCCTTGATAGATTTCCTCTTTGGGTGTGTGGTTCTAATAATGTCATAAGTTTACCCTAGGCCTGACACCTTTAATTCTCCAGTTCCTTTGTACAGTTAAGTGCAGGCTGGAGTCTTCTCAAGACTGAAAGAATGACACCTTCAAGCAGCCTTTGACAGTGTTTAAACACCTCTTATCAAAACTTAATTTCCATGAATGATTGATTTTGGCACTTGATGGAAGGCTGAAGAATGTTCAATTACCCCATTTTCATGTGCTAATGAAGCCGAAAGTGACTTAAGGAGATTTCTTTACACCAGGGTAGGCTGTTTGGATATGCACATGACTTCTTAGGTTTCTCTCCCAGGGTTTGTATCTACTAAATAGTTGTTTTATTGAGTAACTGTGGCTAATCTGTGTGCTTGGTCCCAGCCCTTGGCCTTCCTCTGCAGAAGGGACTGCAGTTAGTGAAGCTGTCAAACAAGGTGTTTCATTTCCAGAGAACTTAGTTTTTACAAATCTTCCAGTAACTTGCAAAAGTCAACGAGGTTGGGATTTTCTATTTGTTCTCAGGTACTCCTTGGGAATCAGGGTTTGAATAAAATCAATACGGAAAACATTTTAAACTGGAGAAAAAGCAACTTTCAATTCCAAGCTGGAGGTTGAAAAGTTTGACCACCAAATCCAGTTTTTCATACACTGCACTAGAATTTTTATTAAAATGTTTAGTCCAAGCTTGGCCAGAAGTATAATATTTAAGGATGTCCTGGCTTCTTTTTTTTTGAAGAAGTGAAAGAGAGAGGAGAAAAATTGCATTTATACGAAAATATTTAAGATTCTCACTGCTAAAATATATGGTGGTCATGGATTTAAATCTTGATGATTATGCTACATGTTCTTTTATAATCATCTTCAATATAATTTTAGTATTAAGAAGCCAGAAAGCTTTAGATTTAGGCATCCTTCTGGGTTGAAATTCCCTTGGGGTTTATAATTCTGTAGATTCCAGCAAGGTTGTTTCTCTGGCTTCTGAAGATTTCTGGGGCCTGAAGGAAATCGGAGGCTGATTTTGTGACCCCACATGAGCAACTTCTAGCCTCTTAAGTTCAAAACAACAACACTCCTCATCCAAACTGCTTATTACTTCCTCTCAGGTTCCAGTTCCTCCTAATGAAGGTGTCTGACTCCCGAAGCATGGAAAGCTCTGGATCCCGGGAGATCAGATCCTTGTTTAGATTGAGGCAAACATGCTGTGTGTAAACACTTAAGCCTTTCCTTAGGAGGTATTCAGACTCAGCCAAGACTGACCATCGTTTCCTTTTTTCTTTTCTTCCCCTCTATGGATGGTAAGGATGACCTCTCTACATGACTATTGAGTGGCTGATTACTGACTCCTGACATAATCTTTACTTACATAGGAAGCACAGAAATTATGTCAGGGGAAAGAAACAGCTTTGCTTCCTGAAAGGAGCCCTACTGAATGAGCTTGCAATTAGGAGATTTTAAATCTCCCTTCTGGGGGTGAACCTAAACTCTGATGAAGCAGAAGCTTGAGATTCTTTTAAAATGTTATTCAACTTCAGGTATCATTTTATCAGCTGTTTGTCCTTAGAAGACACCTTCTCTTTTCTTCTATCCTCCCCCTGGTTATCCTCCTCGTTCCTCCACCAAAAAAGAAAAAGAAAGAAGGGAAAAAAAGACAAAAAACAGAGAGGGAATTTCCTGGCAGTCCAATGGTTAGGACTTCCAGCTTCCACTGAAGGGGGCATAGTTTCCATACCTGGGGAACCAAGATCCTACATGCTGCATGGCCAAGAAAAACACTAAAAACAGAGTATGAATGAAAATGAGACCATTAGCAGATATCACGAAAGTGTCCTCAGGGTGGGGCTGGTACTGGAAATGGAGAAATGCTTTCTTCTTTCCAGCTCTGCAAGGTGAAGGCCATGTCCTGGTCCACACTTTGCTTCCGAAACTGCCTGTCCTGCTTCCTACTCAGGCACTGTGCTGTGGGGCTTCTCTACTTTGATGACAGAGCAAAATCATCTCATTCCTTGGGCTAGAGTGTAAGTTTAAAATGTCTAAGCTTTCTCCTAACTCCCACATTCAATGATTGTTTATGCCACTTGCATATAATTTGAAAGGTGAACTAACAGATGATAACATACTGCACGCAAATTAATTATTATTATTTGCAGTTTCCCTGATGTATTCAGGAGGGCTTAGTCACAGTTACATCCGACCTGGTTTCCTTCTGAGTGATTGTTCTCTGTTTTACCTTTGCGGCATTACCATTTCACATATTCTTTAGGAGTTGATGAATCAAAAATTATTTGAGGCAAAGGCAACCATCATTTCTGCTACTGTTTGAGCAGACCATTCGTGGAATTGATCTGCTCTATTACCTCTTCCAAATTGTGTGGAACTAAAGATGAGGAGGAGTTGGCAATTAAAAAGTTAAATTCCAAACTAATTTTCCTGGTATTTTTAATCTTCTTAATTTCATTAAGACTTTTTATACAGACACTTCCCACCTTGTTTGAACTTTTCCCTACTTCTTTATTCCTTAAGACCTTCTCCTAATGGCGCTCTTCACTTGGACATCAGCAGATCAGGGCATGCCTGCCTGTTGCTTTTGTATCATACTGGTCAGCCTTCTTGATGTTTTCCTAGACTTGGCTCCTAAAGCCTCCCCAGCTCCAGGCTCTCTCAGCACCTGTCCTTCCCCGACACTGGTGTCAGCTTCAGCTTCCTAATGCACCTTATCTATGCCCTGTCAGGGCAGGGACCAAGCAGGTCCTCTCTCACCACGGTACCCCTTTCACTTGCTGGGTGTTAGTTCAGGGAAACACGCTCACTTCTACAACTTCGGTGAAATCTCTTTTTATCTCCATAGCCCCTAATGGCTTTACATTATATACAAACTAAATTTCTAGCACCTTAATCCCACATTCTTGTCAAAGCCTTTTAGGAAATGGCGCCAACAGTTTCTCACACAACTCACATTAGTGGGAATTCTCTCCCAAGCTTACCTTCCTTCCTGTCTTGGTGCAGAGGTGGGATACCCCCTTCTTTCAGTATGTGCTTGCTAGGATTTTTCTTGCTTCCCCTGACTGGCAGACAGGAAGAGACAGCCCTGTTGGTAACATCTGAGTGTAGGAGGGAGGGTGGGGGTATTTGGTGGTGCCTGCTTTTCATCCTTGTTTCTCCATAGCTTTACCTGATGTTTTGCTTCAAATAAATGTGTGCTTATTGCAACCTCTTTCCCCTCTTGCTTGCCCTGTCTTCTGCTCTCACCTGAAATTTCCTCTTCTTCAACCTGCCTTTTTCCAGAGTCCCATCCGTGGTCAGACATCATCTTTCCTCTGAAGACCCCAGAGACTGAACATGACCCTCTTGTGGCAGGAATCATCAGATGCTGCCTGTGTCTGTATTGTCCCTTGGGTCAGCTACCTTCTCTTGCCTTAATCACTGTATTAGTTACTTTTGTCTCCCCCAGAACACTTGAATGGGGGTTGTTATGCTCTTGGTTTTTCTTCTCAGCATGAAATAAATTCACTTTGGCAATAGGTATTATTTTTATATTTTTGGCCACGCCATACTGCATGTGGGACCTTAGTTCCCTGACCAGGGATCAAACCCGTGCCCCTTGTATTGAAAGCTTGGAGTCTTAACCACTGGACTATCAGGGGAGTCCTCAACGAAAGATATTTGAAGCAAGGACAGTGAACAAATTCCAAATGGATGAAATATACTAGAATTATATATGTGACAATCATGTTTTAAAAATTTTGCTGTGTGCTTCAAAGCAGATTCATTTCAATTTTAATTTGATTTTTGTTTATTTACTTATTTTTTGGCTGTTCCAGGTCTTTGTTGCTGCACAGGCTTTTCTCTAGTTGGGGTGAGAGGGGGCTGCTCTAAAGTTGTGGTACATAGGCTTTTCTTGTGGAGCACAGGCTCCAGGGCACTTGGGCTTCGGTAGTTGTGATACATGGGCTCAGTTGCTCCACATCATAAGAGATCTTCTTTGGCAGGGATCAAACCCTTGCCTCCTGCATTGGCAGGCAGATTCTCTATCACTGAGCCACGGGGAAGCCCCAATTTTAATTTATATTGTAGCAAATATTATGATGGGTTTTTAGGATTACTGTCTCTTGCTTCTGGTCTAGAGGGCTGTGTCACACTAAGGTGAAGAAAAAAAAAAAAAGAAAAACTTAGAAAGGCTATACATTTACTTGGATGAGTAATTAGCACTCTTTAGGTAAATCTTTCCCCCAGGGTTATGTTTTGTTTTGACTTTCCCATGAACTTTGCTCATTTCAAAAATTCACACATATTCAGAGCTATAGTAAAGGAGGAAGAGGGTACAGAAGCTGTGTCTACTTAGCTACATATGGAGGAAAGCACAAGCTGTATCTTGGTGGAGAACAAAAGCGAATCAATCAGTGAGGGCTGCAAGTAGGAGGGAAAGCACTGAAATTGAAGAAGAGGCTAAGAGAAGGGGAGGGAGGCCAGAGGAAATTACTGAGACTCTATGAGGGGGCTGTGATTACCTGCCACCCCCTGGTTATCTGAGGCACCACCATGGCAGGTCAGAGTCAGCAGAAGTTCAGTAGGCCACTCAGAAAGCTATGGGGTCCCCAAATGTCCCCAAAGTGTGGTTGGTTTAGACCTTCTGCAAATGAATTACCTCAGGCCTCACAGCTTGAGATACCCAGGACTCTGGTAGGACACTCCTACTGGTATTTTTAATCCTTTACTTTTTTTTCCTTAAGGAATAGACCTCCTATTTCAGAGAAACATTTACTCAAACTCTCTAAATAAAATATATGTAAGTGATAGTGGAGTTGGTGACGGACAGGCAGGCCTGGCGTGCTGCGATTCATGGGGTTGCAAGGAGTCGGACACGACTGAGCGACTGAACTGAACTGAACTGAACTGAACTGAAGTGATGGCTTAATAATGTCAACAAAATGCATAATAAATTTACTTTATATATTTAAATTTAAAACATTTATTTATTATGAGATGAATCAGTTCAAATCTTACTGAATCTCAATATGAAATCTATGGTTATAGATAATAGTTACAGCCTTCCATCAGCCTGTTAACGTTCCACCTTTCATTCAAGGGTCATCTTCACAAAGAACCAACACTTTTCATCTTCATGAGTGCTGCCAAGAGTTTCAGAAGAGCCCACTTGAACCAGTATAGCTACAGATGCTGAAGTGGCTGCAGGGCTTGCTCAATGCATGGTTCTTGAACCACACCCTCCTTTCAGTGAACAGACCACGTCTTGGAACTTAGTGGGTATTACATAAAGATCTGTTGAAATTAATGACCCAGGTTCCTACTTCAGTATAACTTGTCAGAGACCTTCACATTGCTCAGAACCCATATGAATGGTTCAAACAACGATATTAGATCTGCTCCGTTGCCCATTTCATTTAGGATAAAATCCATGCTCTGTGATAGGGTTTGACAAACTTCTTTCTGGGAAGAGCCAAATAGCAAATATTTTTGGTTTTGTATGTGTATTGCTCTGCTCAGGCTGCCATAGCATAATACCACAGATTGGGTGGCTTAAGCAACAGAAATTTCTTTTCTCACAGCTCTGGAAACTGGAAGTCTAAAGTCAGGATGCCATACTGGCGAGCACCCTCTGTCTGGCTTGTAGCTGGATGCTTCTCCCTGTATCCTCACCTGGAGGTGGGGCCAGCAGGGGACGGGGCATGGAAGATGAAAGAGCAGGTTCTCTGGTGCCTTTTTTTATAAAGGCACTAATCCTGTCATGAGGGCCGCACCCTCATGACCTCATCTAAACCTAATTATCTCCCAAATGTCATGTCTCCAAATACTACTGCATTGGGGGTGAACATATGAACCTGTGGGGGGTGGACATATGAGCTTGTGGAGGGCACAGTTCTGTCCATAGCAGTGGGCCATATGGTCTCTATCACAGCTTCTCAGCTCTGCTGTTGTAGCACAAAAGCAACCAGAAAAAAAATAAGTATGCTGAAATTTAAATTTTATGAATTTTCATATGAAAACTTGTCATGAATCATTATTCTTCTTTTGACTTTTTTCTCAGCATTTAAAATATAAATGCTAAAAAAAAATAAAATGTAAATGCTAACTCAATGTTAGCTCCTGGCCCATACAAAACAAAGCAGCAGGCCAGACTTGGCCTCTGGGTGATAGTTTATCAACCGCTGATCTATGAGGCTGCACTGGCCTGGTCTCTTCTTGCTCCTTTGACCTTCTCTCACTGCTCCCTTCTCTTCACCCCAATTCAGCCTCAATGTTCTCTACCTTTCCTTCCTAGGCTCTTTTCTGGGTCCCTAATTTCCCAGGGAGCAGCCCTCTGCCGTTATCAGTTTTGGTCACCTCCTCACAGGGGCTTTCTTGATGGCCATCTCCAAGAGCGTTTCCTCTGTCCTCTTTCCCCCTCCTGTTATCCTGCTTTACTTTCTTGTCTCATAGCTCTTGTCAGCGTCTAAATGTGTGTATCTATTTCTTTACTTCTTTGTCGGCTGCCTCTCTAGCCAGAATGCTAACTCCACGAAGGCAAGGAATTTATTTGCCCTCTTAGTTCACGGTGGTGTCTGGAACCATATCTGGCACATAAAAGATGCTCCCCAAAATACTTGAATAAAAAATATTAAATAAATGACTTGAATGAATGCAAATGCTGAAATACTTCAGTTTTTTAAAAGTTTGAAATAAATTATATTATGTATTTTATCTACCTTTAGTATATAATAGCTACTACCATTGTCCCTTCTAAATTTTAGATTTATCCTGAAAAGATATTAAGTCATTTTCTTATTTTTGTCTTTTTTTTTTTTTTAATAGAAACTTAAAAGGCAGCAGTTGGTTTTCTGGTGACAGGTGTCTTTCTCTGTCTTTTAATAGCCAAAGTTGTAAATTACTGTGATCAAAATAGTTTGGGAAAATGATGGGCTGGATTTTGCTTGTTTTGTCTGTCTTTTTGTGAGATGGGGTTGAGGAGAAAGGAAGGAGGCCCTGGGACAAAATAGGTTTATAGAGTTCAAGGCACAGTCCCCTAGGACGCCCAGTGAACTTCTTTAAATTGAAAAGAACAGAGCCTTGCCTTTGCAGTCTGAGTAGTGATCGTCCAGAGGCTACCCCCACCCCGACCCCAAGTGTTCCCTTTTCTGGGACGGATAACTCAAAGGTGGGGAGGTTTCATTTCTTCCTTTCTTTTACAAGGTGGTAATCTCTTAGCTGCCTATGGAAATAAGGCTGCTTTGAAAGAGGAGCTTTACACCTTGTAAACTTTTCCCCCAGGGCAGGTCAGCCATCCTTAATGCTTCTTGAAGTTAAATTTTCTTTTCTCTCTCTTTTTAAACTTTTGTTAATGAAGTAGAAAGTGAACTCCACTGCACTTGTTAAAAAGTGCTCAGAGGGTAAAGAAAATATGTCTGTGTCCTTTTCCTCCACAACGTGTAAAATCATCACTTTCGAGATTGAATTAAAACATTTCAACCTTCTTAAGATTTAAAAGAACAGCAAGATGCTACATGATGAATATAATGTGCTACCTCTTGTGTAAGAAAGAGTGGAAAAATGAGATATCTATTTGTGTTAGCCTCTCTTTGCTAAAGAAGAATAAAGGAAAAAGGAGAACAATGGTCCCTGATGGACAGCTGGGACTGTGAGGGCCAGTAGGAGGGCAAGGCTGGAGACTGGACCAAGGCTGAGACTATCCCTCTATCTTTTTATATCATTCTGACTTTTGAATCATGTAATGTATTTCCTATCCAAAAATTGTAAAATAAAAATTTTCCAAATTCTTAACTCCCATCTTATTCTGATCTTTGGCACTTCCTATTCTAATCTTTTCTTTCTGTATTTTTTTTTTTTTTTTTTTGGAGCGAAGTGCGATTTTTTAAAAAATTGTGTTAAAATACACACAACATAAATTTTACTATTTTAACCATTTTGAAGACTGCAATTCAGAAGTATTAAGTACATTCACAGTGTTGGGCAAGCGCTACCAATACCCATTTCCAGAACTTGTTTCATCAACTTGAACAGATACTGTATATGTACTGAACATTAACTCTCCCTTTGCAGCTCCTATTCTACTTTCTGTTTCTGTGTCTTTGGCTATTCTAGTACCTGTATAAATGGACTTATACCATATTTGTCCATTTGTGTCTGACTTATTTCACTTAGCATAATGTCTTCAAGGTTCATGCATGTTGTAGCCTGTATAGAATTTCACTCCTTTTTGTGAATGAATAATATCCCATGGCACATATATACCATGTTTTGTTTACATATTTATCTGCTGATGGACATTTGAGTTGTTTCCACCTTTTGGCT